ACTCCCCCTGCTTGTGTTCCCTCTCTCTCTGTCTCTGTCAAATACATAAATAAAATCTTAAAAAAAAAAAAAAAAAGAATATTATTTCATTTATGTTACCAAGAAAATTTAAAGCTAAATGTGAGACCCACGTATAGCAACTGTGTAAACTCTTACAAGGGTACATGTGTTTCCTATCTGGTTTTGGTTTTCTACTTTAAAAAATATTTGTCATGGTCCTCATAGTTTATTTGTATTTATTATACTTGCTCCTGATCCAAGTCATCTCAAGTACTCTGGAGACAAATAAATGAGTATCAATAAAATGGGTTCCAGAGTTTACAGATGACATACTGATTTACATATATATTAGATTAAGATATGCATGAAATATTGCTAACTCATAAGACTTCAACTATCTTAATATAGAACATTTAAGCCAAGAGTGAATGTATAAGAGTACAATTAATCTGGACATACGGCCAAACCTCAACATCTGCCATACATAGCTCTTTTCTAGAGTTCTTACCAAATCAATCACCAGGTGATGACACCAAGTGTCTCACTGAGCCTGGTTGGAAACCTGACCGAAATGTTGCCACATTTTATATATTTCATGGTTATATATGATGTTTTGGCCCCGAAGCTCTTCATTTCTGTGTCTGAGAGGCCTTGTATTTCTTCCTGTTTTCTTTATTTCCCATGGGTACTAGTAAATCCAAAAAGAGCTAAATATACACAATTTCTTACTCTTTCATGTCTTTATATACATATGAATTTTAAATCATGCTGCTAAGCTTGAGAACTGTATATACATCTGCCTTTTGGCATTGCCACCTGGATATCCACAGGTACCAGAACTGAACTCATTTTCATTATTTTCTTTCAATTAACCCTGTTCTTCCACCTATTTTATCTTAGTGAAGTGTTCCCACCATTCACTTGGCAGAAAGCAAAAAACTGGGGCACCATCCTTGCCTTCTTCCCAATACCCTCATTAGCATCACATCAAATCAATCAGCAATATACTGCCAATACCAGCTCTTAAAAACCTCTTGATAGAGCCCATCCTTCCAATGGGGTTTAGGCCATCATTTCCCCCAATAAAGATTACTGTAATAACTTTCTATTTGCTATTCTTGTCTTCAGCAAAAAACATTTTTGTTAAATAAACAAGTATGGAGTGAATTACCTGCTTCTTCAATACCATTTTATCAGAGGTAACCACTAGTAACCTAATGGCTATGAAGAAATGCCTAAAGTGGGGTCACTCTTAACAGACAGAAGACTACAAATCATCCACTTAAGAAGTCACCTATTAGTCTACCCTTAATGCTGTCTCTGGGACTGACTGCATTTAAAGGAAGAAACACTAGCATCAAAGAAAATATCTACAAAACCTTTGCTACAATAAATCACCAAGAGTGGGATATGGTTGAAGAATTAGGGAACATATACAACATAAAATAGAGCAATAGACTGCATTTGTTTATCATATGGGCTGAATTTTTTTAAAGATTTTATTTATTTGAGAGAGAGAGAGCATGAGTTGGGGGAGAGGCAGAGGGACAAGCAGACTCCCCACTGAGCACAGAGCCCCCTGAGATCATGACCTGATGCTTAACCCACTGAGCCACCCAGGTGCCCCTGCATTTTTTAAATTATATAATAAACACTTATTATATAACTGCATATTTTATTACAACTGTATTATTAAAATATTTATTATAAATTATAAATTGAAAATTTATACAAATTATACATATATTAGAGTGAATTCACATTCCATGAAATTTACCCTTTTAAAGTACACAATTCAGTGGTTTTTAGTATAACCACAATGTTGTGCAGCCATAATCACTACCTAATTTCAGAACATTTCATCACTCCCAAAAGAAACCCTATACCCATTAGTAGTCACTCCCTATCACCCTTCACCACAGCCCCTTGGCAACCCAATCTCCATGGATCTGTCTATCCTGGATATTTCATATAAATGGAATTATACAGTATGTGGCCTTTATGTCTGTCTTCCATGGAGAAAAACTCTAATAAAATATAAAAATGTAAACCGTAACAGGGGGCAGCTAATTACCAAAGAATCAAATAATTTCCCTGAATCTTGAGTCTTTAGGTAAACTACTATAGTACAAATTAATGCCATTATAAAAAAAAAAATTGAAGTATGTCTTAGTGTACTTGGTTTATAATAACACTAAAAAACATGACCCATTTAAAAACATTTCTCCTTAAGATAGCTAAAATTTTGCTGACATTTGAGGGATACTCAATATATCCAGGAAACATTCTCCAATAGCCCCAGGTAACCGAGGGTATATTGCTATTATTTCAACTATAGTTAACCAGCATGTACAAAAGCATTGGTTCTATGAAAAAATCCATTCCAGGTTTAATTCCATTATTTTTTCTTAGTATCTCCAATGTATAAGATATTACATAAAGATCTGTAAGAAAACAGTCCCTGCTTGCAAGGTATTTCCAATATAGTGAAGGACTCAGATGTGCAAATCCTTTGAAATGCCAGGAATACTCTTCTTCAGCAGTACTAGTGTGAGATTATTTCGCACCTTGAGCAGGGACTGGGCTGGTTATGGGCTGGGGCAGTAGCAGCTAAGAGCAAGAGGCAGATGCACCTCAGTACAACTTGTTAACTTCTAACATTTGCAAGAGAGAATGTACCTTTCTTTCTCAGTCATGGTATCCTACATCAGTGAACAAAGAATAACATGATTAAGTGCCCAAATAGGGGTGCCTGGGTGGCTCAGTTAAGCATCTGACTTTGACCCAAGTCACGTTCTTGGGGCCCTTGGATTGAGCCCCACATTGGGCTCTGCGCTCAGTGGGAGTCTGGTTGTCCCTTTGCCTCTCCCCCCACTTGTGTTCTCTCTCTGTCTCTCTCGTTCGCTCACTCTCTCTCAAATAAATAAAATCTTTTAAAAAAGTGCCAAATAAATGGGCTGTGAAATAACTCCCCTAGTTTTTTTTTTCCTAGGCAATACCTAGGTCAGATGTATATAAATTGGGGGCTGTGAGTTTTATGTTGTGGGTGATCCAAATATAATTTTTACCTATTAAAAACGACGATAACATTGTAACTGTAATACAAGAAAGAACTTCAAATAACTTCTACCTTGTTATCTTTTTTTTTTTTAAGATTTTATTTTTAAGTATACCCACCATGGGGTTTGGACTTATAACACTGACATCAAGAGTCTCATGCTCCACCAACTGAGCCAGTCATGTGCCCCTACCTTTTTACCCTTAAAGTAAAGGGCTGTAACTCTTCTCTACAGTGCCTCAGTATATGTGATATTTTGTCACAAATACAAGTCACTTCATGGACATATCTGATATTGGGAATGGGAAGTGGGGCAAAGGGATGGATTAGAATCACTTCAAAAAAATCAGCATTATAATAAAATAAAATATATTATCTCTTTCACATTATATAGAAACATAGAGCAAGGGAAAACTAGTAAACAAAATCAAATATAGGTACAAATCAGGTAGGAGAAAATTGTTTTTAAATTAAACATTTAAAATTTTTATTCATATCTAGAAAGTACAGAGTCAAGACTGTATGACAAAAGAATCAATAAATTTAAAATTCAGATAATCCAGTTCCTATACATACATGAAAATTAGCAATAAGTCTAAAAAATTTTAAATAGGCAAATATGATATATACACACACACAACACCAAGCTAAAATTAGCATTCAGACTTACCGTAATAGGAGTTCTTTGGGAAGTTTTTTATTGATTACAGCTTCATCACTATTTGAGAACATCTGCAAAAACAAAATCATTTAGTGTTACTTAACATTTTATTACATTCAACTCAAAGTTTAGAGGCAATCCTCTAAAGAGAGAGGTGAATAAGTATAGTGGATATTATAAGCTGAAGTCATATACTTAGGGACTCTTTAGGCTGAAAAACATCTTTTGAGACATTTAATTTGTTCCCTGTCTTTAGAAAAAATTAATAAAAATAGCAATCAGAAGGATGACATTATGTGGCAGGTATTGTTTTAAGTGTTTTTCATGTACTAATGTACTGAATCTTCATACTATCCTTAATCTTCATTTTCTTGTAAGGAAATGGAATTGCAAAAGATTTACTTGCTTAAAATCACATCACTGCACAGTGGCCATTTAAAAATGCCATTAGGATAGGGTGATTCTCCAAATCTAAGTCACATTTACTTGTTCAAGGAGGTGCTCAGAAACCATCCTAGGATAGGGAACATCCTGAGTTTTACATAACATGCAGAAAACTGGTAATGCTTCATAACCACCACTACATGCATTCTTGATGCACACAAGTGATCATTTAACAAATTAATCAAGTAACCCACAATGGGTACTTTTAAACAGAGTCACCATTTCTTCCATAAAGGAGATCAAGACTGTAAGCTTGTGTAGTAATCTATATAAAAAACCAAATACCTACACTCAATAAAAAGCAGAGTAATAACAGCAAACACACATGTCACTGAAGCTGAGGGAAAGATGCTCAGTCCCTGCTATCACATGTTACAGAGTTGCCTCTTGACTTCATGCAATGAACATTGAACACCCTCTCAAATCAGGCTCTCTCACAGGCAATGAGATACAAAGAAAAGGAGATGTTATCTCTGTGTTTCAGGAGCTCTTGCTCTACAATGAACACAAATAAGTAAATATTAATTATTAGAGATAAAGGACAAGAGGTATATGAGAGCAAGGGAAGAAATAACTAATTCTGCTCATACCTTGACATCTGAGTCTTAAAGGAAGGCCAGAAGAAAAAATAATGGAAGAGAAGGGATAGGAAAGGAGCAGACAAAGCGTACTTCCCCCTCAATCTCAGACATTCAAAGGGTAATTACAAAACATATTTTTTAATAACTATAACAACCTACCCTCCAGCTAAATGGAAAGCTCTGTGAGGGCAGGGACCATGGCTTTCATATTTGCCAACATGGTTCCAAGACTGAGCACAGAGCCCGATACATGGTAGGAACTGAATAATAAATTGAACTGGGGCACCTGGGTGGCTCAGTCGTTAAGCGTCTGCCTTCGGCTCAGGTCATGATCCAGGGGTCCTGGGATCGAGTCCTGCATCGGGCTCCCTGCTCAGCAGGAAGCCTGCTTCTCCCTCTCCTACTCTCCCTGTTTGTGTTCCCTCTCTCGCTCTCTCTCTAATAAATAAATAAAATCTTAAAAAAAAAATAAATTGAACTGTTATGTGGATAGTGGGGCTTGGTCGTGAAGGAAATTTGTATATCAGGCTAGAAATTTGAAATAATCCTGGAGAGAAGAGAAACCTAAAGAAATTAAACTCTGGATTGGTAGTAAGGACATAAGCTAAGAATACACTGAAATTATAGTTCAAGTAAAAGATGACGCAGGTCTCTGTGAGATTACAGGGCTGGTGAAAATTAAAAAAGAAAAGAAACTGGAGAAAGAAGGATTTTTGAAGAAGCAAAAGGACTCGGTGATGGAAAGTTGGACTATCAAGTTTCACTGCAACAGAAAATCTTATAATAAAAGCTGTTGACTGACAATGACATGTTTCAGGAAATTATATGACATCAAAGAATAATCTGCTTCCCTATAATTTCTACCCATTAGTGGAAGCTATTAAAAAAAAACATATCCTTCTTCTATAAGGCAGTCTTTCAAAATGAAGCCATCATATTTCCTCCTAAACAAGTTTAAGTTCTCAAATGATACAGTTTCTAAGATGCTACACCATGATCACTCCTCTCCAGGTACACTTACAGAAAAGAACACATGGGGGAATTATAACCCATTTAAAAAGCTGAATAGGGCGCCTGGGTGGCTCAGATGGTTAAGCGTCTGCCTTCGGCTCAGGTCATGATCCCAGGGTCCTGGGATCGAGTCCCGCATCAGGCTCCCGGCTCAGCAGGGAGCCTGCTTCTCCCTCTGACCCTTGCCCCTCTCATGCTGTTTCTCTCTCGCTCTCTAAAAAATAAAAAAAAAAAAAAAATAATATTATTAATAATAAATAAAATCTTTTAAAAAAATAAAATAAAATAAAAAGCTGAATAATCAAGGGTTGATGACATAAATAACAATGTCTAGCAAAGAAAACTAAAGTATCAAAAATAGAGATCTGGGAGACTTTTCAGCGTTATATAGCACACAACATATGTCTTAAGCTTAAGATCTTTGGAAAAAAATTTTTTTATGTACAAAATAGACTCACTCAACACCCAATCCACTAGACTCTGCCCAACTCAAATTCACAAAAGGACAATCATTTATATATTAGAAATGCTAATCTCTTTATCTTGTATATTCAAAGTATATTTATTAAATGCTACACATCTCACCTCGTAAAGCACTTTGCTCACTTGAATATACACAGTAATTAAATTGTTAAAAAATATAAACCTGCCATATGTCATTCACATGATTTCTACAACTCTAGAGATAAAAAGGAACAAAAATCACACCCAACAATTAATTTCTTTCCTTGCATCAGTCTATATAAACTGAATGGTTTTACTTCAGCTCAGGTCATGATCCCCAGGTCCTGGGATCAAACCCAGGACGGGCTCCCTGCAGGGTCTGCTTGTTTGCCCCTCCCTCACTGTGCATGTGAGCACATGCTCTCTCTCAAATGGATAAATCTTAAAAAAAAAAAAAAAAAAAAGACTGAATGGTGTTGTCTCTATGGGAGCATGAAATGAAGGGAAAAAGGAATAGACAGTGTCCCAGGAGGATTTGGAAAACACCAGGCTTACAGGACATCTGTCCAGATTTACCTATCTCTTCTCTCCCTTCTGCACATATATATTCTACTCCAAGGTTCCAAGAAAGGGTAAGATAAGTGGTTCAAAACCCGTGGTCACCTGACCAGTAGCATCAGCATCAAGTGGGGCCTTCGTCAGAACTGCAAATTCTTGGGCTGTACCCCAGACCTATAGTACCAAAAATGGGGTGAGGAGGAGGTGGAGAGAAAGAAGGGCAATCTGTAGTATAAGAAGCCCTTCAGGTGACACCCATGCTTTCTAAAGTGTAAGAACCAATGGACCAGATGAAGCAGACTGCAAATCTCAGGATTTAAGAAATTACAGTTCTGGGGGTGCCTGGGTGGCTCAGTTGCTTAAACATCCAACTTGGGATTTCAGCTCTGGTCTTGATCTCAGTGTCGTGAGATCGAGCCCTACGCTGGGCTCCATGCTGGGTGTGGAGCCTACTTAAAGAAAAAAACAAGGGGCGCCTGGGTGGCTCAGTCGTTAAGAGTCTGCCTTCAGCTCAGGTCATGATCCCAGGGTCCTGGGATTGAGCCCCGCATCAGGCTCCTTGCTCAGTGGGGAGCCTGCTTCTCCCTCTCCCACTCCCCCTGCTGTGTTTCCTCTCTCGCTGTGTCTGTCAAATAAATAAATAAAATCTTAAAAAAAAAAAAAGACAGAAAGATAGAATGAATTACAGTTGTATAAAATAATCAGAATATTTCCTTATTTGAAGTGACATAACGCTGGAGGTTAGAAAATAATCCTAGAGGTAGACACGATATTTTTAAATGTTTTCTAGGAAACCCATATGGCTTCCTCTCCAGTTCATGGCATTGCTGGTAAAATAAACGTTTCATAGAAGCAACAGAATATATGTTTTAGGTATTTTACTATTTCAGCTGAATCCGAACTTTGGTTTTTCATGCAAAATATAAAGGTTGTCAAAACCAATTAGGTCCAGGATATAATGAACTACAACAAATTTGTGAAAGATCTTAGGTATAATTGTTGTAGAGGAAGTGACTGTTCCAAACATGTGACATTCTTAGGTAATCTGGTTTCATATTAACAAAGGAATATATTTATTACGTATTTTTTATAATCTATCCACAAACAAGTACAAGGACGTGGTCATGGGAAGAACATGAGAGCAACTAGGTTGTTCTCTATTAATTGTTTCAAGGGAGGACACCATCCCCTGAGCAAGCAAACACTGCAACAGCATTTATCTAGGGATAGGACATTCTTAAATATTCAGGTTTTAAAAAATCTAAGTGATGTGTCTTGTTGCTTTGTATTAAACTATAATTGTTCTTCTATAAATTATATAGCTGAGAATTGTAATGGCAGGTAGGTTTAACAAAAGAAATAACAAAGAAAGCACTCGCTCAACAGTGACCCCTGCTGGTTCAACTGGAGTATAGTTTCCGACCTCAAAAATTAAAAGATCTGATTCAGCTTTATAGAAGAAACAGAAAATTTAATGAGTACTTCGGCAGAGAATATTAGTTATCCATTCTCCTAGAGTAACAGAATTCCCAACTGTTAGCTAACACATGGCTGTATGGAAAGATGACTTTGTTTTGCAGCTAGATAAAGCCAAGTCACTAAGTTCTGGCCAATGGGATGGAAGAAAAAGTGGTATGTGCAATTTCAGGAGTGTCCTTAAAGAGAGAAGGTGTGCCCCTTGTTACTCCTTCCTTACTTCTGCTGCTTGAAATGTGGTTAGGATGACCAAACTCCATCTTCTATCATGAAGTTGAAGGCCACAGTTTTAAAGATAAGCAGAAAACTAGAAAAAGCCTGTAGATGACTGCAGAGACACAAGGCCTTTGGACTTCATATGACAGAAAAAGAAACTTCTATCATATTTAAGCCACTTTTAATTTGGGTCTCTGATACATGCAGCTTAATTCACTTACATTACTTTAGATTTTAAGAGGCATCTTTTGTTTTGCAAGATGAAGAATCCTGGAGATTACACAAACATTGTAAGTGTACTATGCACTTAAAAATGATTAAGACGGCAAATTTTACGTTGT